AGAAGAGAAGAGAAGAGAAGACCAGAGGAGAGGAGAGGAGAGGAGAGGAGAGGAGAGGATAGGAGAGGAGAGGAGAGGAGAGGAGAGAGGGGAGAGGAGAGAGAGGAGAGGAGAGGAGAGGAGAGAGGATAGGAGAGGAGAGGAGAGGAGAGGAGAGGAGAGGAGAGGAGAGAGAGGAGAGGAGAGAGAGGAGAGGAGAGAAAGGAGAGGGGAGAGGAGAGCACTTGGCGTTTGTCACTTGTCCAGTGCTAGAAGCAGAAGAAAATCATATTCATTGGGAAATTAAAGTGCAATGCTTGTGCACTACTCCGAGAAATTGGTTCAGAACTTGTGAATTTCCTATTTTGTGCACTTTTGAGGCCACCGGCGTTGATCCTGCCGGGAGTCTGCTTATCTCAAAGAATCATGAACTAAGCCCTGCATGTCTCAGCAGTTAATTTGCCTGAGAACAAGCGACGTCACCCGGCGTCACTTGAAAACTCGACCTAAGTTTCTGAATCTAGGGTGGTCCTTTTTGGTCATTTTGTAAGCACTTGCAAGCCAGGCCTGGCTTTTTTTTCATGTCACGCTGGTTTGCAAGACGCCGGGCTCTCGTGCCTGGGGTGAGCATGAAGCTGTTGCTGGGAAGCGGGCACGGCGCAAGAGTGAAAAGAGATGGGACTGCCAGCCTTGTTTTTGTCTTTGGGCCTTAAGCTCACACTTTTGTTTCGCTTCGGTCGTTCAGTGAGGTCACACCATACCTGACTTGTAATACTTTGGCACGTCCGCTGACCGGGGTACCACATCGCAGCAGTGGGCACTACCGGGCCTCAACCGCAAGTGCCCGGTCTCGCAGTGGGTCTCGGACCGGGCCTCACGCAACACGCAACCACACAGCATAACCACAAACACACAACACACAAGCCACAAACACAACCGCAAACAAACAACCCGCAACCGCAACACGCAACACGCAACACGCAACCACAAACACAACCGCAAACAAACAACCGCAACCGCAGCCGCAAACACACAACACGCAACCACAAACACAACCGCAAACAAACAACCGCAACTGCAGCCGCAAACACACAACACGCAACCACAAACACAACCGCAAACAAGCAACCGCAAACGCATGAGGGGTCAGGAGCAGACAAAGGCAAAGCCTGTTGGCCAGGAAAACAAAGCAAATTGCAAGCAGGTCAGAACACCAGTTTGGACCCCAGCTCCTCAAGATCAACGTCGGATAGGTGCCTAACATCAAGTCAGCAAACGAAAAGTAGGATAGCAAAACCTTCACAACCGACACTTCACACATGGTGGCATCATGCCATCACACTTGAAGCGCCCAAATCAAATCCTCACAACTGATAGGGCGGATAGGGGACGAACCAGTTTAGCGCATGGCATGTTCGCACAGTAAATACTTTTGTCCGCATCTCATATCTTTAGACCTTTGTGAGGGAATCTCCACGAGGAGTATACTGCGTGAATCTGTCATTCAGTTTCCCTGAGGATCGCATCAGCAGCGTTGTTTTTTGAGTACTGGGCCTACAAGGACTACCGCTGCCAAAAGAACACGGGAATCTGGGAGGAAGGTGGATGCGTTTCTCAGGGCGTTTGTCGCCAAGTCAGGACACTCAATTATGTATATATATATATATATGTTGCATTGTTGCATCCTTAAATCCACTTGTATGAGTGATCTCAGGTTCCCATGTCTCTTTTCATCCTGATCTGAGGATGTTCAAGCCAGAAGTGAACTTGAATAGACTCTTTTATTTCACGGAATGCTGCCCCGGCTGCCCCCCTAGCGCTAGCTGCCTAGGTGTAACTGTTTTCTAGTTGTGCCCGCCCAACAGATGTCTCTTAGTAGCAATTGCCGGGCTGGGAAAGACACGCGGAACCAGCAGAACCCAACCAGTAATTCATCTTGGGAGCCACGCCTCCATCCTCCCAGCTCCGCCCTTCAGTACCAGCTGCTGCGCCAGTCCAAGCGACCCTATCGCCAAAGCGTGGACGTGGCCCATGCGGCGCTCCGGCCGCTCGGTGACGAGACGGTGGCCGTTTGGATGTGGACGGCATAAATCGATGGTGTGGAGCAACCACTGTCCTTGTGACTCCCAACATATATAGATTGAAACACATAAACTAAAATAAAAAAACACGTATTTAAAACAAAGCAACTATATTATATATAGATATAGATATTTAATATTTATAGTATGACACCCTGTGTTTGCGTGATGTTACCAAGAAATGCCAGAATCATGACCAAGTTGTCGTGTATGAAAAGGGACACTCTTCAACGCTGGGTTATTTGGCCTTTGCAGTTCATGCATACGTAGTCATAAAAATCCAGGCTACCGCCAGCTTAGCCTTTGGCAGGCTCACCGTTACTTAGGGCCTCAGCAACGTGCACCCCCAACTGTACTCGCAAACCCTTCACGGAACTGTACTCAAGAACAACACTATCACATGCTCGATCATGGTTGGGCAAACTAAGGGTAACCTCCGCGACATATGTGGTAGCACAATGCAGCTTCTAAGATGCCTTGAGTGGATACACACAATTTCCCTTGACCATGGGGTCTGTGTCACAGTCTGTTTGGGAGGTCATCCGGTCACCCACGGTGGAAACCTTCCACACCCGAGCAGTGCCGAGGATCGTATACATCGGCCTTGCGGGCTATGCGCTGACACAGGCACTGACCCAGATTGCTCGTGGTGTAGCCTGTCCATTTGTCCACGTCAAAAAGAGGAAACGCATAAAAGTGAAGGTTTGGGTCAGTTTCAGGTCACTCAAGCCTAGCAGCAGTTCACTTTGGAGTAGAGTCAGTTGGGAAAAAATTGATGGTGAATGTAGGTGGAATGATTGAATTCAAGAGTTGCAGGCTGGACTTGGACAAGTCGGATAATGATTCCCACTAGATGACCTCCATCAAACTCTAGTCTGTCCCCATTATCTACCTTGCTTTTTGTCGATCCAGCCCAGCGCCAAGTTGAGGCAGAGTAGGGCGAGCATCAGTGCAGAACCGTTCCAGAAGTGCGGGAAACAACTCAAGCAACAACAACAGAACCTCAATCCCATGTGTGAGATGTCTTATCTCAAGCGAGTACCTCGCACCTACTGCCGATGCTGCTGAAAGCGTTCCGGTCGCTTTCCAAAGACCGGCCGTTCCAGGCGATCTTCCTCACTCCGTCCTTGTCCGAAGTGCCTTGCCGCAAGTCCGAAGAACCCTTTGTGAAGAGCAAGACGGTCACGGTTCACGCTGGCGCGGCGCACTCAAGTGGGGTTTGCGAGGAGTTTTCTAGTCAAAGTACGCCACCGATCATTTTCGTGGAAGGTGGGGGCGGAGGTGGGGCAATGTTGCATTTGGCAATGCCAAGGATCAAGGCACCTGGTCATCAACCCTAACGCTGCCATTGCTGGTGATGCCTTTGGTCTTGCTCTGCTTGTCCATTCGCTTGCAGAGGTGCCCTGTATAGAGTCTGGAGATTAGATTACTGTTGGGTGGATGGAAGTGGCAAGGGTATGTAAGGCCCTCAGAGAAGAGGGAGGTTTTGTGCCAGTAGAACAAGCACATAATTAGATATTGATCGAGGATTGTGCCATTCCAAATGAAAAGATCGACAAGAAAGACACATTCGTAATTACAGTCAATGGATTGATGAACATAGCACCATATGAAGAAGACACAATATGTGCTTTATGATTCTATCCAAATTTTAAGTCTGGGTTTTTCATCGCATCCAAAGCTGGTTAGAAGTGTGTGGAAGTGAATGGAGTTCAGCTCTTGCCACAACCGCCGTGGTGCTTTGGGCTTCCTTGGCTGGCTCGTTTGTGCACTTGGCGCCAGGCTCGTTTGTGGTGGCTGCGTTTTTGAAGAGAAGGGGCGGACTTCAACCTCTGCAACTCGAAGCAAAGGCAGAGATCAGCTGTGTATTCTAATTACTCTACCTTTGTTTTATTTGCTTAAATTTCATTGGTGACTTGAGGAACCCCCATTCTCATTTCCCTGCTCAGTCGTTGATCTACACCCCCAGACTGAGAATTTAAGGATCTCCAAGTAGCAAACGCGGACGGAGTCTTGTGACTTCACTGTTTGATTGGCTGAACGACATAAAAAGGAAAGGAATTAAACGTCCTCATGCAAACAGAACTGTAGTGAGCGGATTATAAGATTACATATAATTCTATATCCTCCTTTCACATCGCATGCCAGGGGCCCACAGTATTCTTGCCATGTCAAGTACCCCCTGGGGTCCAATGTCAAATACAGCAGGAATTCCTGCCATGTCCCTTCCCTTTCATCCGTTGCTACACGGCATTGCATCTCGCATCTCGCTGGGGTGACTGACAGACGGGGATTGACATGGGAGAGCACAAAAACACCACCAGCAGGGTTTTGAACCAGTCCAATCCCATGTCTGTTTTGAAGGAAGGTTTATTAGAGAATCATCATTACCAAGGTGACCCACTGACCACAGCGATCGAATACCTTGCATCAAGTGGTTCGCCATTTGGGCTTGCCTCAAGATCAGGGTCTCTGGGCACCTTACGCTCAAGCAACACCCATTGGTTATGGGTGTTGCACAAACCGCCTCATTGTAAAGCAAACATGTCTTGCTTGTCACGCCTGAACAAGAAGCCGCCATCCATCATCTCCCAGGTAGATTACTACAGCGCCCAACGGACCTGGGCGAAGCACCAGAAGTACCACACCACAAACTTGCCCCTTGGCGAAGGGACAAAAATGCGCATTGCCTTGAACAGTGCGGTGGCGTCGCTCTGGCCGTCGATGTCTTATTAAGTCCTAGGGCCACGTGGAAGAATCCTATCAGAGTTTTCACTGGAACAGCAAAAAGCACAATGAAAAAGACACTCCTGTGTGTATTTTTTGGTTTTCTTTTTTCCATGTCTACTTGCCTTGCTTCAAGTGGATGCTCAATAGTTTTTCGGGTATGAGCTCTGTTGCTTGTAATACTTATTTCAGGGTGAGAGACGAGCCTTGAAGTTGCAGGAGTGGAGTGCTTCTAATTCATCGATTGGATCTTTGGCCAAAACGCTCTTTGGGTAACCAGTAACCAGTCTCTTGTTGAGTTGTTTTGAGGCGACTGGTTTCAGGCATGACCGAAATCCCATGGCACGAAGCAACACTAACAGTTAACAGAAGAACTGTAATTTGTCGCAACCTCTCCTTATATATATATACATTGTATATATATATATGTACATATAATATAGAACATCTTTGAGTCAATTAACAGTGTGATGGATTTGCTTCTAGGTTTGGCGTGGGTGAGTTTGAGTTTGACTCACAAAAACCTCAAACAGCACAGTCTGTGGATGAAGTATCACTTGTTTGTTGAAGTTTCAGGTTTACCGCCCCACTTCCAATGATCCAAAAACTGTCATCCCCCTGTGTGGCTGAGGGTCTACTTGCCGCTTGGCTGTTCAAGTCCGTGGTGATCGTGTGGGTCCACATCTTCTTCACGACACGGACAGGTGCAGGGGTGCAGGTGCTCCTCTGCAGACTGTTTCAAGAAAGCCAGCCATCCAACAATGAGAAAAACATTGGACAAAGCAGCTCAGTCTTTGACAATTCACTCTGCTCATGACTGATGCTTTGGACCCCCCAGACGGCTTTGGACGGCGGTTTCGAGATTTGGGGAACTGCGACTCTAGACTGTTGACATCGCTCCCAACGAGCACCTCCACTGTTTAGGACGTCTCTATGTGTACATCGGTAAGCCATGCTGTCAAACTCATCGTGCTTAAGTGTCCTCTCGTCATTTTCATGTTTAAAACTGGGAACTCACATACAACAAGCCAAGAAAGCATCATTAAGAAAATCGTCCCATCATCCATTTTGCCAGCGACATCCTAACAACAGACGTCCTTCACAGAACAGACTTGAGGCTCTTGGGATCAACTCACCTCAAGGGCTTGGGAATCCACGCGAATCGCTGTCCTGTTTGGACTGTGACATGATGCAAGCTTTGGGTGTTGCCCCTAAGTTGAAGCCACTATATAAGTCTACTTTGGAACTAGACACTTAATAGTAAGTGTACTATACAAATGTGTGTATATCAGTGTAGGTATTGAATGGCTAAACGGTTTAGTGTTTTATCGAATCCACGTGCTGAGATGAGTTTGGTGAGGAGCAATCCCCCAATTGAAGCGACTTCCCGCAGTGCGACGTTTGAACGTATGAAAGCTTCTTCGGTCGAGGCGTGGCTTCGAGATGATCGACGCAGCGGGTAAGAAGCTGAAGTGACATGGTGGAGAAGAGGTTGGGAAGACAGGGTGTGTGGGTGGATGGTGTTAAGATGGTGTTAAGAGTGGTGATGGAGGTGGAAGCATTAGTGATAGTGAGGGGTGGTTGGTCGTCAATCTCTCATTGGACATGACTCTCTCACTACTTGACAATAATTTTTTCAAGGAATAGCTTACACCAATCAGATTGCTGTGAGTTTGCTGTCCACCAAACGAGTCGACAAGTCTCACTCTTCGTCTCACTCTGAAACACTTCACCCGAGTGAGAAGGGTGTGTAATAAATAGGGAGACCTTCCAAAGACCCTCTGGAAGAATGACCATAGACTAAAACCCATTGGTTGTTCTGACCTCCTCACGTTTACACTGGGGGAGTGCAGTAAGCCCAATTTCAGATTTCGAACAACCATCCATCCATACAAAGGACGTCGAGCGGAGGGGGCATGATTCAAGAAAGGGCGACTTGAACGTAAGGTGTTCGGAGAAGACCTGGTTTCGACACCATATAGTTACTTTTGGCTGATCCTTCCTGTTCACGTCTGTGCTTGAACAACCTTCCCGCTTGTGTCGAACGCGCTGCATCCGTCCCAGAGACGAAGAAATCACCGTCCGAGGTACGACCCACGGACTGGGAACCTCCCAGACCCCGCCTCCCTGCGCACACCACCAGCGCCACCGGCGCCGCTTGGTGTCGTGGGGGTAGCAGTCAAAGTCATCCAAAGTATCAGGAGCTGTTGTGCTGAGCCTTGAAAAGATAAATGATCGATAGGAGGGGAGTCAAAACCGCAAGACCGTGGTTGATTTGTTGAACAATGAGCAGAATGGAAGGGTGGGATGTCAACCTCCGAGTTGGTGGTTTTGTGGGCACTTTTTCATTCACTGTATGCCTGATTTTCCACGCAACCACGAAAGACTCAATGCTGGTTGCAGGATTGCAACCCAGGTCAATGACAATCCTTTTGGATGAGCTACGTGGAGAATCACTCCCCTATCATCCAGAGCCCAAACACCCGCAAACTCATCAAAGTCAAATTAAATTGAATTACTGTAATAGCTTCTTGTTACTACTAGTAAGGCACTTGTTACTACTAGCGATGCGCTTGTTCCTAGTAGCTTCAAAGAGTTGATGACGTGTCAGAAGATCGATGATGTCAGGGATCGAATCGCCGATCCATCCGTTCCTGAATCGGACCTAGGCCCAGCGAGGGAAGTCGACTGGGCCACTTGGCCGGCATCGGCCGTGGGGGGTGGCCAATTGGTCCAGGGGAATCGCTCGCGTCAAAATCAGACTTTGATGCCAATTCGCATTTGTAAGAATTCCATTGGACACCCCTTTGTCACATAGCAGCTAGGCCCCATTAGGCATCCAAACCATCTACTTTGGGTCCATTGGACATCCCTTTTTCCATTGGAATTCCATGGAGACTTCCATGGACCGACCACGTCCGGAGCAGCTCGCGCATTGAGCGCATGCTCGCTGCTCGGTTTTTGTGGAGGTATTCATGTGCAGTCCAATGTGCTTGAAGAGCAAGCTACCTGTGCAAACAGGGGAACCGATTTTATCCACAACAACAGCCTCGCAAAAGAGAACTAAAACGCAATTACCTAAGTCAACCAAAAGTCCACCTGGCATTTTTGCAAAGTCCACCTTGCCTTGGTCAAACTTGAAAGTTTCTCCCCTGAACATCGTGCGGATGAGAAGATGATGTCTTGTTCAAGCAGCTACCAGTGCAGCATTGACTGGCCCGCTCAGAGAAGCTGGAGGAAACATTGGATTGGTCCGTTTTGCTTCTTTCGTTTGGGGATCATGGTTCTATCATCAGGGTCCCATCATCTGAACTCCTTCAGATGGACGGAACAACCTTCTCCATGGAAGATCCTGCGGAACTGACAGGTAGCCTCACTGGCAAGGAGGATTTGGAATCAGGTTCGGGCTCCTCAGAACTCAGGGAATTGCCGGTTGGATGATGGTGATGATGATGACGATGATGGCATTATGATGATGATGGTGGTGGTGGTGATGATGACGGTGGTGACAGAGGTGATTTTGTTGTGCTTGACTGGTTCTGCGGCCTTCCCACCTGTCACAATGTTACACTGCTTGGGTGCGTCAGTGCTTTCATGACGTGACTCTAGGGCAAACAGACACGTGGGGGCAGCCGGTCTTCCTGGTTTGGTGGGAACAGCTCGCTTCTCCTGGTTTTGTGGGAGCACTTTGCTTTCCCTTTGGTGAACAGCCGACCGTAGATTCAGCCTCAGGATTTCGTACCGCAGTTTGAGATAGAGTTTGGAAACTGGCCCCATCCATGTTGCGCTTCGGTCGTTTGAGGAGTTCTTCCTTCGAGGCCTAGGAATCCACCGTCTGTAAGTGATGCTGTGGGAGGCTAAAAAAGCCCACCAAGAATCTACTCAATGCCTGCATGCGCAATTTCGATACACATCCACCTGCTCCATCATTTTCCATCCTGTTCCACAGCAAAGACCACTTCTTTTCGGGTCCTGACCACCGTCTCGCTCGGAGAGCCTCGGAGCGGAGCGAAGGGACGATGGTCACGTCGGAGCGAAGGCGCTGGTGGCTCTCGCACAGTGGAGACCGGCCCCGATGGTGAGGACGGAGCGGGGTTTCGGTCGGGTCGCGGCGTTTGGGAGTACGGAAGCATACGGAAGCAGCCAGAAGGAAGTTGGGCAGATTCTTTCCACCTGGTCCTTAACTGGAGTCGGTTTCGGCGTTCCCACAGTTCTGTCCTTTGTGTTCCCCAAACTTATTAAGACGAATAAGACCTGAAGTTGCACACTGCTAGACTCTTGTCCTTCACAAAGCCGAGGTTTTGTGTCTATATGAGGCGCAGCAAGTGAAGGGGAGAAGCCGAAAAGAGCAAACTTTTTGCACCGTTTGGCTGTTTGCATTATTGGTCCAGCAAGCTTTTCTGTGCTGCCAAACGGTTTGCCTTTTTCGGCTTCGGCTTCGTTTCCCCACTTCTTTCGTGACAGATCTTTTGGATTTGCATCCATTTTCTGGGTCCACCTGCTGAGTTTCGACTCAGGGCCGAAGAACATCAATACAGGGCCCGGTGAATCTCCAAAAGGGTTGAACTGTTTTTCCCCTAAAAACCGCGGCGCAGGTATTCTAAGAGCCGGTGAACTGTCTGTGGGTTCAGTCATGATCACCAACTCTGAGTCGAGACGGAGGGACCACGCCTTTGACACACATGCCAGGAGCTACGTTCGTAGCGAGGCCCTTTGCTCCGTTCGTAGTAAGGCCAGGAGCCCCTATATCGTAGCGAGGCCCTTTGCTCCGTTCGTAGTAAGGCCAGGAGCCCCTATATCGTAGCGAGGCCCTTT